TCATCTTGCAATCGCAAAAACATCAACGTAAAGTGGATTCGTCGTAGAGTGGGGTAAATCGTCCGGTGGGGTACGACTGTATATGGATCCATAATTTTAAATTGTGCAACACTCTGATGCAAGAGTGAAAGAGAAAACGAAAGAAAAAGAACAAACTAAGACTTTGTTAAGGAGCATCATCCCAGGGTCCATTTGGTGTTCTACCTCCAAAGATACATCATTGCCCAGCCCTGCCTCCGTCCTCTTACCTGAGGCAATTCCAAGGCAGCCATTTCTGCTTTCCAAGGAATCGGCCATCTGGTAATGAGAGTGGCTTCAGTGTTGTATCCTTCCAGAATGTGAGAGGATTCCCAAGGCAGATGCTCTGCAGGGCCTCGATCCAAGGCTGCAAGGAAGAATGATTATTTATTTATTTATTATTGGATTTTTATCCAATTTTGTGAATCTGTGACTTTGGGAAAGCAAGGGTTGAGTACCATTCCTTCACAAGACTCTCAAGGTGGAGAAATGACATTCAGTAGTAAACCCTTCATTTTAAAATACAGTATTATAAACATATCCACCCTCAGAATAGCAGCAACCTCATCCCACCCTCCACAACACACACACATACACACACAAAAAGAGGCAGCCAGCCCAGAGAAGACACCAGATCTGTGGAGAAGAGTCAGGCAGATCTTTCATCCCAACCCTCTTCTTCAGAAACCATTCCTTCAAGCCTGTGAGAAAGTGAGCCAAGAGGTGGAGGTATGAAGCTGTGGAGATGTATCTGAGGCACCAGATCAACAAATGTGTGCCAAGACTCTTATTTCCTATCCATTACTCTTAATATCCAAATACACAGAAACGCCAAGTGTTCCAGTTGGCGAACAAAACAGAAGGGCAGGTTCACCAAGAAGGAGGCACACCTTTATAAGGCTCTAAGGATCCAGTCGACTGGCAATTTCAAGCGAGCTGTTTAAACTCTTTTTGCTGGATAAGCAGATTGTGGGGTTCAATTCACAACAAGTCTCTTTGGGGGGGGGAGGTCACATTTGCCACCCAAGTGCTGCCTTGCTAGCCCAGGAAACAATTATTCAGGTCCTGAAAAAATCTGCTTTTCTAACACACGAGCCTCAAGGCGGCTTTTAAATTTGCTGGGATGGCGAGCAGGATTTCCGAATGGACAGCATGAGAGCCATTCAATCCTCCTGAACTCAAGTCCATTTCCGTTTTGTCAGCTGTGCCAAAAGCATATTTCAAGGATAAATTTACCACCACCACCCGATGCAGATGGCCAAGAAAAGAGAGCCATTTTTTTTAATTTTCACGAGCCTCAAGGCGGCTTTTAAATTTGCTGGGATGGCGAGCAGGATTTCCGAATGGACAGCATGAGAGCCATTCAATCCTCCTGAACTCAAGTCCATTTCCGTTTTGTCAGCTGTGCCAAAAGCATATTTCAAGGATAAATTTACCACCACCACCCGATGCAGATGGCCAAGAAAAGAGAGCCATTTTTTTTAATTTTGAGGGGAGGGGATCGGTTTGCTTATGGCATGGAAAGGGGGATCTCAGCCATTCATCTTCGTGATGAAATAAGAAAGCTTTGGACACATCGCAAAAGAAGCGAAAGCAACCACGCTGGGAAAACTGTGACGCCAGCAGGAAAAGAGGACGATCCGCTGTGAGATGAACCGACTGCCTAAAGGAAGCGACGGCCTGGAGTTTGCCCGGGGGCGGTTTGCGATGGGGCATTTTGGGCGGTCATTCAGCCGTACCATCGTTCTCCATAAGAAAAACGCGGGGGGGGGGGGGGGGGGGGGGGGGAAGAAGCAACATGCAAACTGTATATTTCCAAAAAAACCCTCGGTGAGAAATAGATATCTGCCCTGCAGGGCTCAAGCCTCTATCTTGTGCCTTCCCCTCCTTCCCATCATCAGCCCAGAGCATCTCCTTCCAGGGCTGGCTTGCCCTCCTGGACCCAGAAACTCTCCCCCCTCCCTCCTTCCACCCCATTATCTCCTTCTACCTCCTTCTCCAAATCCCGGAGCTCCGCTTCCTTCCTGTTCTTATTTTGGAAGGACCCCCTTTTTGTGCTGCACCGCTCCTCTCCTCGTGAGTAGCTTACGTGCTTTTAAAGCTGCGGAAGTTGAGATGGTCCACTTCCCGTCATGTGACTGAAGCCATACCAGGCTCCTGGCAAGGAAAAAAAAATCCCTTTAAAACTACAGTACTCCCATACGTATATGCGTGTGTGTGAGTTATGTGCTGTCAGGTTGGAACCGATTTATAGCGATCCTAATAAGTTTTTGTGTTTTTTTTTAAAGGTAAGTTTGATAATTAAAGGAGTGGTTTTACCAGTTCCACTCCCCCAGTGAGCTTCCATGGATGAGTGAGTGTCCCATACATACAGTGTTCCCAAACAGTAGCTATCCAGGGGCCTCAATGTATTATCTTTGGCTAGAAGTGACACCCCCCCTCCAACAATAACTATAGAGGGCATCAGTGTCATTTAAAGCAAAGTAAACATAGCCCTTGTGCATCATCCGCAAATGCTGATGGTGCCTTGATCAGATTTCTAAATGATTAAAAAGAGACGAGTTTCGGAGTCCTGGAGCACACATACATCATCATTCGGAGCGTTGTAGGAACGAGGGAAGAAGAGGCCAAAACCTTCACAAGCTGGATGCTGAAGCTCCAGCATCTGCAGTTAAAACTTAAGAAATAAAAACTGCATTTCCACAACAGGCAAAAAGGGTGCCAGTTGGTCAGTGAATCTTACACGGCTTCTCCCCCCTCCTTGAAACATCTGGCTCTGGTTTATCTTCCTAGTGGATTTGGCTCAAAAGGCCAAGGCAGGGTTAAACAAAAGGCAAACTGTAGGGGAGCATTGTTTATTGCATTGCACAACATAATTTCTTACCGTGAGAAACAACATTAGCTTTCTATTTCCTGGCTTTGTGGCATTACTACCACCAGCACGACACTGCCGTAAACCGTCTTAAACTGTCAGGAATGTTCTCATCATTGAATTTTCCTGGTTTCTGAAAATGAAATTCATCCTTCCAGTGTTGGCAACCCCAGCAAACAGCACATGGTTTTGTCTTCTTACGCCTTCTATACAGCACTTGGGTGTACGCCTCAAACTTTGAATAAATGCAGGTAGCTATGCTTAATCATTAAAAAGGCAAAGGCTCCCCTTGACATTTAGTCCAGTCGTGTCTGACTCTAGGGGGTGGTGCTCATCCATGTTTCCAACCCATAGAGCCAGGGTTTGCCCGAAGACAGTTTCTGTGGTCACGCGACTAAACACAGAATGCCCTTACCTTCTCACCGAGGTGGTACCTATTTATCTACTCACATTTTTTCACATGCTTTCGAACTGCTAGGTTGGCAGGAGCTGGGACAAGAGACGGGAGCTCACTCTGTCATGCAGATTCAATCTTAAGATGCTGATCTTCTGACCTTGCAGCACAAAGATTTCTGCGGTTTAACCCGCAGCGCCATGACGTCCCTTCCTGATTAATCATTAGAACAAAGCAAAATCATAACAGGAGGACTTTACTTCTCTCCAAGTTTATCCAACTTTTGAGTCACCTGTACTTCTTTTATGCTGAAATAAACACTAGTCTATTTTTAAAAAAACAAACTGTTCCAATTGATTACAATGCAATATGTGACTAGTTAATTCCGAACATGACCCTGTCAGGCCAGTGTTTTTCTGCCCTCTTTCTGTGGTCCTCTTAAGTCCCTTTCTTCCATCAAACTGTCGGCAGCAAAATGGCTCCATAGCAGCTCTTGTGGCAGATGCTCAGAACCAGAAAGAATTCTGCTCCAGACATCCCCAGACAGGGAAATGCACTTCCACATGTTGCAAATCCTGCTGTGGCCTGTTATATCCATACTCGTCAGAATCCTGAACCACAGCTGCTGCCATAGGAAACTGCACAACTGGTGAGAGGAAAGCTTGAGTTTCTTTTTAACCCTGGGAGGCCAATGTCTATACTTCTGAGAGGAAGGAACTGGATAGACAGCATTGGAAGAGTAAATAGGAGCCTACCATATGCATAGTAATGATGGTCAACATCTGGAATGTCTTATGGTTTATATGATAACCATGATAATATGATAATGATGTTGAGCTGGATAAACACATTGGCAAAGCAGCTACCATGTTCTCTAGACTCACAAAGAGAGTATGGCTAAATAAGAACCTGTTGGCATATACTAAGATCCAGGTCTATAGAGCACACTCTTGTCCTGCAGTGAGTCCTGGACCCTTTGTGCACAGCAGGAGAGGAAGCTGAGAATGCTCCATATGCATTGTATCCAACGCATTCTTGGTATCACCTGGCAGGACAAAGTTCCAAATAGAGTAGTCCTAGAATGAGCTGGAATTTTTAGCATGTACTGTATACATTACTAAAACAGCAACATCTACGTTGGCTTGGGCATGTCATGAGAATGGCTGACGGTTGGATTCCAAAAGATATCCTGTATGGAGAATTAGTGCAGGGAAGCCGCCCCCAAGGGAGACCACAGCTGCAATACAAGGATATCTGCAAGCGGGATCTGAAGGCCTTAGGAATGGACCTCAACAGATGGGAAACCTTGATGTCTGAGCGTTCAGCCTGGAGGCTGGCAGTGCATCATGGCCTCTCCCAAATTGAAGTGACCCTTGTCCAGCAGGCTGAGGCAAAGAGGCAATCACAAAAGCAGCAAAACCAGGGAGCTGGACAGGGGACAGATTGGATTTGTCTTCAGTGTGGGACTGTCATTCTTGAATTGGCCTTCTCAGCCACACTGGACGCTGTTCCAAGTCCTCCATACAGAGCACGTTACCATAGTCTCTCGAGACTGAATGATGCCTAATCTAATATGATAACAGAGTCCACTCCCTTGGTAAGTATGGTTAGACCTATCTAACCCCCTTTTATTCAGGAAGCAGATGCATTAGTTGATGCGTCAGTTCCCCCTCTGTCCCTGTACTCTCAAAAAATACCCTACAGATTCTTGGAAGGTCAGTTCAATCCACCTTTATTTCAAACTGAGCACCACAAGCATCTCGTCACCAGGACATGCTGACAGTGAGGTAAAGGAGAGGAAAGGCAGACCCCAATGAGTAAAACACAGATGGTGGTGGTAGGTTTCGTATGAAACAGGCTGAGAGACTGAGTGAACATGGGCAGGATCCTGAAGGATTGGTATGTAGTTGCAGAAGCAGGGCCTGCGCCCAAGCAGCTAACTTGCTACATTTTAAGGAATTTCATTATTTTGGTCATTGGGCTGCACAGAAACTGCCACCACTGGAAGAAAGATCTCCAGCTCTCTCCTTACAAAGGAAAGGAAGATTACAGAGAAAAACATTGATGAATAAGAAAGAGCTTGAAAGCAATGCCTACACTTTGCTTCTTTCTCACGGTGACACAGAGAAGATGTCTAGGCTAACCCGGTCATTATTATTCTTACATAATTGTAAGGACAAGTTCCTAGTATAATTTTGAAAATGCTCCTAAAGCTGCTGGCTGAAGTTTGTTCTGTGTTCTGTTAGCACCTTTAATATTGCTGTTTTAAAAGGCATATCATTCTTATTTAAAAACAGAACTCTGTACTAATGAAAAAGAAACTGTGAATATGAAGCATTTCCCACACTCCTGCCATTAATATAGTTTCACTAATGGCGAACTGTGTGATGCTTCAGAAGGAGTGCACTGAGAGCAAAGCATTTTCCACATTCCTGGCATTGGTAGGGTTTCTGTTCCATGTGGATCTTCTGATGGTTCAAAAGGGCTGAACACTGAGCAAACTGTTTCCCACACTCCCAGCATTTGTAGGGTTTTTCTCCTGTGTGAATTCTTTGATGCTTCATTAGGTCTGCCTTGTGGGCAAAATCCTTGCCACAATCCTGGCATTGGTAGGGTTTCTCTCCTGTGTGGATTCTCTGATGCCTCACAAGGTGTGAATTCTCACAAAAGCATTTCCTACAATGCTGGCACATATATGGTTTGTCTCCAGTGTGGATTCTCTGGTGCTTTGTAAAGTCAGGCTTCCGGATAAAACATTTCCCACACTCCTGGCATGTGTATGCAGTTTCACCTGTATGGATCCTCTGGTGCATGACAAGCTCTGAACTGTGAGCAAAACGTTTCCCACAGTCCCAGCATTTGTGTCCTGCCTCCGGTCTGTCAGCCTTGCGACCAAAACATTTCCCACACTCTTGGCATTTGTAGGGTTTCTCTCCTGTGTGGACCACATGATGCAACGCAAGGTGTGAATTACGAGCAAAGCATTTCTCACATTTGTTACACTTGTACGGTTTCTCTTCGGTGTGGACTCTCTGGTGCCTCACGAGGGAGGATTTCTGAGCAAAACATTTCCCACACTCCTGGCACTGGTATGATTTCTCTCCTGTGTGGATGCTGAGGTGGGTCAGAAGCTGCGAACAGCAAACAAAACTTCTTTCACATTTGTGGCATTGGTAGGGTTTCTTTCTTGTATGGAAGCTCTGGTGGCTCAGAAACTGTGAACTGAAAGCAAAACATTTCCCACACTCATGGCACCGGCAGGGTTTCTCCCCTGTGTGTACCCTCTGATGCACAAGCAGGTATGAATTCTGAGCAAAGCATTTCCCACACTCCTGGCACCTGAATGGTTTTTCCCTTGTGTGGACTCTCTGGTGGTTCACAAGATGTGATTTCCAAGCAAAAGATCTACCACACTCATTACATACGTATGGTTTCTCTCCAGTGTAGACTCTTCGGTGGTTCACCAGGTATGAATTACCAGCCAAACACATTCCAAATTCTTCATATCTTCTGAAAAAAAATGTTTCCACTATGGACCATCTTGTGAAGCATGAACTCCATCTCTTGCTCAAATTCTTTCCCGTATAGATTGCATTTGTAAGGTGTCATGCATTTCAACAAGATCCGGTTTGTGGATGTAACTCCTTCCATGCTTGACACCTATGTTTGTTTTCCTCCAGTTACCTGCTGGGACGGAAGAATAAACACAGATAAAATGTGAATTGTTAAGCAGGAGAGGGAAAAATGAGACAAGGGGCTGAACAATTATAAAGTTTCTGAATGAAAATAAACACCAAGAGAAAAGATGAAATGTATTGTGCAAATTTTCTTTCTTCGTAGGTGCCCGGTGCCTTGGAGTTGAATAGAAATGATTGAACAAGTTTCTTTTTGGATAGTCTGGACACCCCAATAGGTCAGGATAGTGGCTCCTGGGCATTTCTGCTAGCAACAGCCTTGGCAGCTTCTTGCCCAGCGCTTCTCCTCCTGAGGAATCAGGAACATCTCCCACCATCTTTTGTTGGGATCCCCACGGGGGGGGGGGAGCTTTTCCCAATCTTCTGTGGATAGCATTTGAGGCAGCAGTTCCTCCTCCATGGCCAGGGCGTCCTCATAAGTCTCACCTCCTTTACTCTCCTCCCGGTCCTCCTTAAATTCCTAAGCCTCCAGGCTTAGCCAGGACACCTCTAACACTTCACCCCAATCTACAGGTGTGCTGTATATGGGAAACTGAGCACCTGCTCTCGAGGAGGTAGGAAGCCCACTTGCCCCGGTGAGGGGCCAAGCTCACAATGTGTTTTGCAGCCAGGCTTCTGGCAGCAAAATATTCTGATTGGCAGATGTTGTGTTTTGCAGCTGGGCTTCAAGCAGCAAAATGTCTTGAGTCGGCCCTGATGTCACTGATTGGGATTCTATATGTGAGTGAGAAAAAGGAAAATATTGCACCGTCTCTTTGCAAAATCCAAAAGCAAGGGTTCATAGTACGTTGATCAGATTACTAAATTATCCAAAATGGGCAAGCTTTTGAGTAATGCAGAACTCCATCAGTCTGGGCGTTGGAGAGGATGGGGAGAACAGAACAGGCTCCAGAAGGTCACTGCTGATGCTGATGCCTGTAGTGAAGTAATAAAAAACTGCAAGTTTAAATACAGTAATCAGTTGATAGGATGCGGAATCAATGGCCTTTTTTTGTTTCTGTAGAAAAAAAAGGATGCCAGGTGCACATTGGGTTTTCTCAATCTTTTGTTGGAAGAATGTGACTCTGGGTTTGGTTGCAAGTAGAATGAGGCAGAAAATATTGAAACGGAGGCTTTGCTACTTTGGGCACACCCTGAGAACACAGGATTCTCTGGAAAAGACCACAGCCAGGAAAGATGGAAGGAAGGACGCAGGAAAAGAGGAAGCCCAAATATGAGATGGACTAGCTCCCTAAAGGAACCACAGGTTTGAGGTTCCAATTGCTGAGAGGGCTGTTGAGAACAGGCCTCACTCACAGGCAACTTGACAGTATATAACAACAAGCAGCAGCAGCAGCCAGAAACATGGCTATCCCCTGTATTAGAAAAGCTGGAAATTAAATTTTATAGCACAGAAAGCAAAGGGCAGGGGAGATCGGGGAGATGAACCCAATGGAGAGAATTACCTACTTGTTAGAGGAAGGAGGAACCAAGATTTGCTGGGGAGAAAAACTGTCAAGAAAGCCACTGTACCATATCCTGAGGGGTGTGTATGGAGAGGTCATGCCCACTGTGGTTGGGGGGGACAGAAGGCACAGCAGTCAGAAACAAAGCCAAGGGCTAAATAGAGGTGCACAGAAATGGACAGGGGTGGAAAAACCCAGAAAAATTGGGGGACGGGAATAGTTCCTTTTTTTCCAAAGCCAATTTTCCCCCAGAAAAATTTTAAAAAATGGAGTGTGGAATGTGTTCTTTTACAATGATAAATAATATGTCTACGACATCATATTCAAACTATATACAGTGGTGCCTCGCATTACGACATTAATTCGTTCCAGCGAAATCGCTGTAGAACGAAAACGTAATGCGAAAATAAAAAGCCCATTGAAACGCATTGAAACGCATTGAAACCCCTTCAATGCGTTCCAATGGGCTGGAAACTCACCGTCCAGCGAAGATCCTCCATAGGGCAGCCATTTTTGGTGCCTGTGCAGCGAGGAACCCATCCCAGAAAACAGCGGGGAGCCATTTTGTTTACCCGGCAGCCATTTTGAAACTGCCAATCAGCTGTTCTAAAACCGTCGTTTTGTGAAGAATCGGATCCTGAAGCAGGGAACCGATCATCGCAAAGTTTAAAAACCCCATTCAGACAATCATTTTGTGGTCGCAATTGCAATCGCAAAAAGATCATCATAATGTGGTTTCGTCGTAATGCGGGGCAATCGTAAAGCGAGGCACCACTGTACTGTAACATGAAGACCTTAATGAAAGACCTGAGACTTTATGTATTTATGTTACAATCCATCCTTACTTGTGACTCCTGAATTCAGACAAGCCCTGCCTCGAACCGGCATTGTTGAACTCCCAAGAAGATTCTTTAAGAAGCCATACAACAAAGCTTTGTGATGAATTACAGGACTATAATAGTGGCTAGGTCACACACTTGTGTTGTCCTAGGCACTCTGTCATTATTTATTATTGTTAACAACAACAACAACAATCGTGTGCCATCAACTTTTCAGGGTTTTCCAGGTACTGTACAGTCCGTCCGTCCGTCCATCTGCTGGCATCCGTGAATGGGGGGGGAAGCGTCCTTGCGTGGGGGTACTTGTTATGCAGTAGGTTGTTGGAGGAATTTCCAAGGGATTAGATATACCATGGAACACAATGAAGACAGTCATCATCAAGTGGAGAAAATATCGCACAACAGTGACACTACCAAGAACTGGACGTCTCTGCAAAAGTGATGAAAAAAGTTGAAGAAAATTGGTCAGGGAGGCTGCCAAGAGGCCTACAGCAACATTAAAGGAGCTGCAGGAATATCTGGCAAATACAGGTTGTGTGGTACATGTGACAACAATCTCCCGTATTCTTCATAGGTCTGGACTATGGAGTAGAGTGGCAAGACGGAAGACTTTTCTTATGAAGAAAAACATCCAAACATGGCTAAATTTTGCAATAACACACCTACACTGTAAGTAAATCAGTTGCCACACTACTGAAATTTCAGTGGTTTACCTTCTCCATGGACTCGGTAAGCTGGTACAGAAAGCTGAAACAGGAGCAAAATATTTTCCAAACTCTAGGCTAGGGGTGGGCAGTCATCAGAGATTTTGACGCCACCTCTCCCACAATCACCTTCCATCCAAACAAATCTTACCAATATTTTTTTTCTTAACTGAAAAACTCTCCTTGCAGCCTCTACTGGTCCAGAAACATATTCTGGGACATGGGGAGAGGGACTCTCTCAAAAAATGGTAAAAGTGGCTTCTACATCTTCTACAGGGCACAGGGGGGCTTTCTGAGACAAAGATAATTTTTTTTCCAACAAAAATTTTAAAATGTCCTTGGCAGTGCGGGGGTGCTGGATCCCTTCAATTGTGCTGGGGGACAATGCTTGAGGCCCTAAGCGGCCACGCGTGGCCCAGGGACTACATGCCACCCACCCCTCTTCTAAGCATTTGTATGATTTATCCACAGTGTGAATCCGCTGGTGTGTCACAAGCCCTGAATTGTGAGCAAAGCCTTTACCACACTCCGGACATTTGCATGGTTTTTCTCCTGTGTGGACTCTCTGGTGAATCACTAGTTGTGAGCTATGAGCAAAAGATTTCCAGCACTCCTGGCAGTGGTATAGTTTCTCACATCCATGGGCGCTCTGATGCTTAGCAAGGGAGGAATGATAGGGAAAACATTTTCCACACTCCTGGCATTTGTATGGTTTCTCTCCCGTGTGGCCTCTTTGATGCCTCACAAGGTGTGAAATCTGAGCAAAACATTTCCCACATTCCTGACACTGGTACGGTTTCTCTCCTGTGTGGACCCTCTGGTGCCCCACAAGCTGCACCTTTTGAGCAAAGCATTTCCCACACTCCTGGCATCTGTACGGTTTCTCCCCTGTGTGGACTCGCTGATGAGATGCCAGCTCTGACTTATTAAAAAAACATTTCCCACAGTCCTGGCAACTATATGGTTTTTCTCCTGTGTGGATTCTCTGATGCGCGATGAGGTGTCCCTTCTGACCAAAACATTTTCCGCACCCCTGGCATTTGTACGGTTTCACTCCTGTGTGGACTCTCTGATGCTTCACAACGTCTGACTTGTAAAAGAAACGTTTCTCACACTCCTGGCACTTATATGGTTTGTCTCCTGTGTGACCCCTTTGATGCTTCAGAAGGAATGACTTGTAAAGAAAGCATTTGCCACACTCCAGGCATTTATGTGGTTTCTCTCCTGTGTTTACTGTCTGGTTTTTCAGAAGGTGTGAATTCTGAGGGAAACGTTTTCTAAGCTCTTCATCCTGGAAGTCTGTCCTTCCCATGTGGTCCCTCTTGTGAAACACAAGTGCCATCTTTTGAGCAAAACTTCTCCCACACATGGTACACTCATAGGGCTGCTCTCCATTACACTTCTCCTCTTCTGAGTGGGTTCGCTGATGACTGGCCAGATTCAGCTTACAAATAAAACACTTCCCACACTTGGTACATACATTCTTTTGGCAACAAAGATCTGTGGGGAAGAAAGACAAAGGCAGATAAGGCTGAATCCCAAACCTGAGACAGAAGGAAACTTGGGAAACAGAAAGGGGACTGAAGGTCTTATAGGCTGACTCTGATGGCCCAGTTTTTCAGAGGAAAAATGGACCGAAAAGGTAATTCCTGCACGGATTGAGAGGGGAGAGTGAAGCAAGCTCCTTACCAAGAGAGGACACATTTTCATAGTTTTCCATCATAACCTCTTTGTACAAAACTCTTTGGTTTGTGTTTAGGAGATCCCACTCCTCCGTTGTGAAATCCACCACCAGATCCTCAAAGGCCACCAGTTCCTGCAACCATAAAACAGCCTCCACTCAGGACAACGCCCTGAGTTTGCCACTCAAAATGCAAAGACCTACTACAGAGTGAAACAAGGTCAGAAAGGAGGAGACGGATTTCTCCCTAAGACACCACATGGGGTTTCCCCATTTCACAGTTGTGGGTGGCAGTACAAAGCCCAGACTTTGAAGTGTATAAAACAATACAAAGCCTTGCCACCAGTTCTGAGGGGAGACCACCTGTGGTGGCTCCCAATGGCAGCCACTGATACAGTTGTGAACCGCAACCTGCACAAAATGTTTGTTTTCTGGAATTGGGCGAATTCTCCCAGCGAGAAAGAGTTTGGTGGGGACTCTCTTCCCCCGCCACATCTGTGTTGGCTAGTTAGCAATCTTGATGTAAATTTCCTGATATGAGAGGAAGGGCCTCCATCACAGACTAACTTGTTTGCTTTTCTGTTTGCATGCTAACTAATCAGAGCAGTTTGTTTTTGCCAGGCTAGATAAACTCCACCCTTATTTCTTCCCTCCTCCTCCTCACGTGTTTTGAGAGACTCCGTTTTGTCTCAGACCCTTTTTCACCCTGGAAGATGCTAGATTGCCAGGATGGCTCTCTGAACCCTAGAGGTCCTCCCAGCCACATGGGCTGAGGAAACAAACCTTATTTTTACTATTTTCCTTTCTATTAACCTTAAGCCTAATGAGTGCCTGTTTTAGAAATGGGTAAAATACACAAAACCTTTTATACTTAAAGATCGCCTCCTGAGTCTTATTTTCTAAAGTGCTAGGCTTTGGTGAGGTTGGATACCAAAAACAATTGGGTAAAGAAGGGGACTTCTACAGCTAATTCTACTCTTAAGGAGCTGGCCTTCCGCTGTGCATTTTACCGGAACTTAAGCAAGTTCCCAGAACTCTCAACAATCTGAAGGTCAAGCAGACATATTCTGGTCCACTAAATGCCTCCAGAAGGTCCAAGGGAAATGATTTCTGCGCACACAGATATTCCAATGATTTTCATGGCTGTTTGATGCATAACTTTCCCATGAAAATTACGCATGGTTGCACAGGATCTCTTACCATCATTGCCTTTGTCCTAGCCCTTTCCTCTGACACTCTTCCTTTCCTTCTGGACTGAGGCACAGAGTCCACTGGATCTACTACAAAAACAAATAGGGGAATATCTTAGAGAGACGCCTTGGCTCCAGAAGAGATACTAAACTGGTTTAGAGTGAAAGGCTTAAGAAGATAGAGGGAGAACAACCTGGGGGGTGGGGGGGAGAAGGCAACCCTCTCCAGCATGATGAATTCACAGGTATATTGCCCTGCCTAGCGAAAGTAGCTCATCTCATTTAGCTAAGATGCAGCAATAAACCATGAATCTGTCAAGGCACTTTGGAAGAGTTATAAATGGTCTTTCCAAATTTCAGCCACTGGCCATCTACAGTTCATATTAATGTTTCTTACAGCTAAAACATGGCAGGGACAAAAAAAATATATCCCAGCACACCTACTGCATTTTGTCACTTCCCAACAAATATCAGCTATGGGGAAAACAAATGTCTAATGTTGTTTTTTGGCAAACGATGACACCCAGAACAGACATTGTGTGCTCTTCATTGTCAACAAGTTGACTCTATTAGATAGGTAGCAGGAGCAAGGTAGTGGGAATTATCTATGGGTCGGGAAGTAGGAAAGGTATATGTTAAACCCTAAACCACTTGTTAACTCATACGTAGGGGGAGGGTTTCTATATGTCACACTTTCTCTGCAACCTACATCTGAACCCACAAGCAAGTTTAAACATGTTTATGAGTAATTTGGCCTTTCCCACAGTCATAAACATGTCAAAACGCAGTTATAAGTTCAAAATAGGTTGCAAGAAAAAAGGACATGTCATAAAAATCTTCCCCCTACTCATAAGACATTGGTATTTCTCTGGGGTCAGAAAACACCCAGAACTCCTTCAATCCGTGCAGAGGAGGGGAGAGCTACCACAAGACTTTATTTTCTCTTTTACGGGAACACAATAACATGTGGTGCCAGTCTCTTTATATAAGACACACATAAAGGTGCAGAAGGAGAGAGAGAGAGAGAGAGCAGTGAGGTTGAGGAAAAAGCAGCAGTAATCAAAAATAAGTGCAGTCAGTCAGAGGGAAAAGAAGGCTGCGGTCCAGCAAGATCTGGAGGGCCACATCTTGCTCTCAATTTCAGTTAAATGTGTAATTCTTACGACTTGTTCTCTAACCCATATTGGTCTGCAGTGCAACCTTCATCTTCTCCAAAACAAAGCAATCCAGAAACCCTGAGTCTCTTTCAAGCCAGGAGATCAAATCAGGCTTAACAAATGAAAATCCTGCATAAGCATTAAAAAAAAAGAGAGAGAGAGAATGAAAACCTATTCAGGTGGGTAAAGATCTGAAATATGAGGCTGTGGACCAACCAAACTCAACAAATGGATACAGATATTCTCCTAGCACCATGACTACCTGTAGACCCAGTCACAAGAAACATCTGGTCCATTTTGTCTCCTAACTATGATTTGGAAATGGGCCACAGGATAAAGAATTATTTTGGGGGCAGCCCAGGTGGTACTTTCATCATAAATGTTGGGGTTCTCATCACAGAGCTGATTTTCAAACCATGGCTCATCAAAACTGTGTACTATGGCTGGATTAACTCTTACATGAAGGAATTATTGCGGGGACATACAAGCCTATATCAACTTTCTAGCCTGTAAAATCACAAACTGCAAGGTCACACAAGCTACTCTTTGGGCAAAAAAAAAAATAAATCAGCTACCAGCACCTGAGTAACACTTTCATTTAGTTTTCCACCCTATTCGAAAGACTTAACAGGCCTTACAATCAAGGTGGAAAAAGCAGCAACAGAATTTAATTCAAAGGCATAACAAATTGGCAATGAAAAAGCAACACACCCCACAGTAAACAGGGAGAACATGAGATACTTTGAAAGAAGAGCAAAGGGAGGGTCGTTCTGCGTTCCGAAAGACATTATTGACTTGCCTGATTCACGTTTTTGATTATATTTCCTTTATTATATGGGGGGTGTTGTGGGTGGTTTTTTTTTTTGTTTTCTCATATTATTTGTATCAACTGGACTGTTAACTGCCCTGAGTAGTGCTTGTACCACTAACCAAGTGGGATAAAAATGCGATAAATTAATAAATAAATGTAAAAGCAAGGAAGGATCTATTCTTAAATTGACAGGATATGGAGTGAAAAAAATCAGAACATCTTCTCCTGATGCTTTTTGATGAAGCAAATTTGACTTGAGTGGATTCAATATAATCTCTTACCTAAGGATGCCACATGGTCATAATTCTCATGCATGACTTCCTGGTATAGCCTTCTTTGAGTCTGATCCAACAGAGTCCATTGCCCCTCTGAGAAGTACAAGGCCACATCTTCAAAAATCATGGGGTCCTGTTAAAAAAAAGAGACCAAAACTTATGCTGCATTGCACGTTTTATGTTTCTAAGCCTTACACTGATCCTTTAGAGTTAAGCAGGATTGATTAACCAAGAGATGGTCACTAGTTCTACTGTTAAGAAGAGTCAAGCAGCCATGGCAGGCAGCGGATATGAACAGACAGTGAATTTCTCATGATTTCATCTATTATTATTATTATTACAGCCAGATGTGTGGGAAGGAGCAGATTTTTGTAGAATTTTCTTCCTTGAGAACAAATCCACCTTGATTCTGACAGGAGGGTCACTTTCTGTCCCATCAAATATCATTGGCCTGCCACCCACGCATGTACCTGAGGCAATTCTTTCACACCTAGCTCCATTTTCTAAGAAACTGACCACCTAGTGACAATCTTGGTTGTCCTGCTGTATCCTTTGAGCGCTGCCAAGGATGACGTTAGGTTGAGCGTCGAGCAAAGGCTGAGAAAGAGAGAGACAGAGACAATTTGTGATCTTGAGAAAGGAAAGCTGTGGATAATGGGTAAAATGATACCTCCTTCTTCTTCTATGGGACAAGAAAACCCTGCAAGGAGAAGGCAGTATTCAAGGAGACATGAACCAATTTAGAAGATTTCAACTGCTCAGATCTATTCTCAAGGACCTGCCTTTCCAGAACAGCATAGCACTTGGAGATATGCAAGTGGTTTAAACTGAATTTCTGGATAGCTCAGTGGTTTAGGTATTTGGCTGCGTAGCCAGAAGTTGGGGGTTCAATTCCCCACTTTGCTTCCTGGACTCGAAGAATCACTTGTTCACAGAGCTTGTCACAAAAGCTCACATTAAAATATAACAGTCTTTAAAGTGCCTAATGTTTTGTTTTATTGGATTTTGCCTGAAATATGTGTTATGTCAACTAGTAATGCCACTTGGTCTTCTTGCCACGTAGGGTTTGATGGTTTATAATTATTTTATGGTTTTGTGTATTGTATCTCATTCAAACAATTTTTAAGGAGACAGGGGTGGGCACAAAGTCACTAGGAAACCATCCAAGCCTTTCCCTGTGAGTTCAGCTTGGTCGTCTGTGCTAAAAAATCTTGTTTGCGGAACGGCGGAATTTCTCAATGCAAAGCGTGACTGTTTTCTCCCCCTCTATTCAAAAAAAAAAGGGGGGGGGACTGACATCGTCAGGACGTGTCCCAACCTTTCCTCGCTGGCCTGGGCAGAGACATACCCTTAGCCCACTGGAGACGATTCCGGAAAGGCTAAAATAAAATAAAATGCAAAACCTACCAATCCTCTCTCTGCACCGCCTCCCTCCCTTCCTCGTCTCGGTGCATTTTATCAAGGCAGGGGGTTTGGTCGCCGGCGGCCTAGCACGTGACTGAAGCCAAGCCCGACTCCTGGCAAGAGAAAGGCCAGCTCCCTCGACCGCCTTCAAGGCGGGATTCGGTGCGGTGCTTCCTTGGAGAAGGGAGCGGGGGAGCCATTTTGAAGCTATCCCATAATTTCTTTCGGGACAAAACACCTTTGGCTTAAAGCCTCACCTTTTCCTTCTCTTTCTCCCCTCCGCTGTGTTCTAGCAATCCCATCACACGTAAGAGGTGGTGAAAAAGATGCAATGGGACTTAAGGAAGCAGGGTTAGCCGTGGGGTCCTCCAAACACAATAAACCTGATGAAGTGATGTTTTAATCCACCAAAGCTGGTGAACGGTGTGATGTGTGTAGTCTATAAAGGTATCGCCTGTTTTGGTATTTATATTTGAGATAAGCAGGGAAGGTGGCAAGCATCTCTGTGGGACCTTCGTGGAGCAGAAGACACACTAGCCAAGGTGGCAGGCAGAACCAGGGGGAAAGTGGGTATTCACACACCACCACCACCATCATCATGATGTGCCATCATGTCAATTCAGAATCATGGTGACCCTTTTTTTTAAAGGATTTTCCAGATACAGAGTACTCAGAAGTGGTTTGCCATAGCCGCCTTCTGGGGACCCCCTGGGACCTTGCCCAAATCCACACAGGCTGCCTCTACTTTCAGGAGGCATGTATACACACAAACATCAAAATGAGTATTCACAGAACACATGGGGGAAAAGGAGGGGGTCCAGCAGAACACCCAAGGTGCGAAGCTTATCCTGAACAGAGAGAGTAGCCACCCAACAAAAAAAGGGAGAAGCTCCTTGTGGGAACCCATTCTGACATGTTCCCGAGAGTGGACACTTCTACATTCAATCTTATGGGCCATTGCGCCAGTAGACCCATCCCTCAGATGACTCCCATACCTTCAGGCTCCGGGCTCAGTATGACTTGAGCTGAAATGGGCTAGTGCCACGAGACACCCCAAGATACTTGAGACACTCCTGGTTTCGTACATCCCCCTCTCTCTGCTATCTCTCCCTTTTTCTCTATTCCTTTCAGCAGTCTCTCTCCAATAAGGTGGTTTGCAAGGGGTTTGGCATCATCAATCATCAAAGCCGCCCAGAGACCTTTGGGTAGAGTGGGCGGCATATAAGTTAAATAAATAAAATACATAATCTTGCTCCGCCACTTCTCTGCCAAACATGTAAGTGCACAACTCCCTGGTCCTAGGGTCTTATTTTACTATGCAAGTCCCATCCTCAATTATTTTTCTACCGCTGTTCTCCAGTATCATTTTACTCTGCTTCCTCCCCTCCTTTTTATCCACCTCTGCTCCCCCCAAAACTACCTCCTCTAGCAGTTGTTACTTTCCCAGCCTTTTTGTCTCTCCTCTTCATAATTTAACCCCTTCTTCCCCTTTTTCAACCTGTAACTCCGGGTGTAATATTTCAGTCTCTTTCACAGATGAAGAGGATGGCATTTTGACGAGGAGGGAAACCTCCTTCTCTTTTAGCTAACACTTACATCTTTTTACAATATGCACTGTTATTTTTGTCTCTTGCAGATGCTTCATTTTCTAATTACAATGTGAGAAATCACTGATTATTTATATATTCTAAGTTTTATTTACCTACTCTGCCACACAGCAGTGACTGTTGCTTGAAAGTGAGTTTATGGCCACTTAGCAGGTCTTTATTTTTACCACTTGCTCCTGCCTATAAGCAGAAGAATAACAATACTTGCATCACATCATTGCTTGAAAGTAAGTATTGTGTGTATTTATAACTATTATCCATCACATGTTGGTGTCTACTGTTTTCATATCTCTTGTGTATAAATAGCATAATGGAACAGGAGATTGCCAAGAATTGTTAGTCTCACTTGGTAGATCAAATTGTATAAAGAATATTTTAATGGTGCAAGTTTTAAAGTACTCTATTGTTAGAGCAGTTTTCAGGGGATTTTTGGTACCTCATCCAACTGTTTTACCTTTACACAGACAAGGTAGCAAAACCTGACACATGCACATTGCTTGTAAATCTTATTTCTTGAAAAAGTTCATCAGCTGGTTTCTAGTACTGAGGTTGTTTGGCCAGCTATCATCTCCAAGCGAGGCCTGACTCCTATCCAGTATAATTTCCAAAATATCATTTTTAAATATCTTCATTTGAAAATGAAAGAACCTGTGCATATAGAGACTGAGTTTGTTTCACAGATTGCACTGTACAAAATATTCCTCAGGATTTGACACAGCTGGACAACACATTTACGTCGTGCATATCATTTCATATTCTTGATGATACATGAACTCTGTATGAACTCTTTGGTGCCTCAAAAGACTTGAACTATAAGAAAAACATTTCCCACATTGCTGGCATTGATATGGTTTTGCTCCTGTGTGGACTCTCTCATGCTTCACAAAGTCTGCCTTTCGAGCAAAACATTTCCCACATTGCAGGCATTTATACGGTTTCTCTCCTGTATGGACCCTATTATGTCTCACAAGCTGTGAACCCTCAACAAACCCTTTCCCACATTCCTGGCATCTGTATGGTTTCTCTCCTACGTGGAGACTCTGGTGGATCAGAACCTCTTGAACTGAAGCAAAATACGTGCCACATTCTTGGCATTTGTGCGGTTTCTCTCTTGTATGAACTCTCTGGTGCCACAGAAGGTGTGAACTAGATGTATAACATTTCTCACACTCCTGGCACTTATAAGGTTTTTCCCCTGTGTGGAGCCTCTGATGGCTCACAAGATGTGGGCGGTGAGCAAAACATTTTCCACATTCATGACATTTAAATGGTTTCTCTCCTGTGTGGACCATCTGATGCTTCACAAGAGTTGAGTTGTGAGCAAAATGTTTCCCACACTGTAGGCATTTGTATGGTTTGTCTCCTGCATGGACCCTATTATGCATCACAAGATATGAACTGTGAACAAAACTCTCCCCACATTCCTTGCATCTGTATGGTTTCTCCCCTGTGTGGACTCTCTGGTGGATCAGAAACTCTTGAATGGAAGCAAAATATTTGCTACATTCTTGGCATTTGTGTGGTTTCTCTCCTGTGTGGACTTTCTGGTGCTTTACAAAGCCTGACCTTTCACCAAAGCATTTCCCACATTCCTGGCATTTGTATGGTTTTTCTCCTGTGTGGACTCTCCAGTGCCGCACAAGGTGTGAGCTACGAGTAAAACATTTCTCACACTCCTGGCATTTATATGGTTTTTCACCTGTGTGGAGTCTTTGATGTATCACAAATGTTGAGTAGTGAGCAAAAGATGTGCCACATTCTTGGCATTTGTATGGTTCCTCTCTTGTGTGGACTCTCTGGTGATTCAGAACCTGATGCATGGAAGCAAAATATTTCCCACATTCCTGGCATTTGTATGCTTTCTCTCCTGTGTGGACTCTCTGGTGGTTTATGAAGTCTGACTTTTGAGCAAAACGTTTCCCACAATCCTGGCATCTGTGTGGTTTCTCTCCTGTGTGGACTCTCTGGTGTCTCAAAGCCTCCTGGCTGGAAGCAAAACATTTTCCACATTCTTGGCATTTATATGGTCTGTCCTCTGTGTAGAGAGAAATAGCAAATGATGAATTCCATGGAAAACACTGCTAACAATTTTTGCATTTCTAGGATTCATTCTCTATGTAGACTTCTATCAAGATACAAATGGAGAGCAAAACATTTTTCATATCTAATAGATTTCTTTTCTGTCTAGGACAAGACTTCCTTCTTTGGGGAAAAACATTTCTCATCCTGAAGGTGTTTGTGTTCCGTGGCTGCCCACTCAAAGAAGGTGATGGGACAGGAAAGTCTGTGGCACTGATTATGAGGGGTGCCTGAGGGAGGAGGCAGGGCACAGTATCCAGGGCACCCGGGCAACACCTGTGGGACCAATCCGCCAAACTGTGGTAAGTGCCCATCTGCAATAGATACCTGACAGTTTTGCGTTGCGCATCATGCCATTCCCTCTTTTCCATGAGAAAAAAAAACTAAGCTCCTGCAGCTTTTAAACATCTTGTTGACATGGATGTGCAATTCTGCTTGTCAGTGAGATACAAATATCATTTTTTAAAGGGGAAATTCAGTTTGCCTTCCTTGGCACCACTGGGACACATCCGGCAAGGCAGTGAGGCATAGGGGTGCTGTGGCTAGTCGTGCTGCTACTCTGGCCACTCCCACCCACCCCCCAAGCTGACTAACTCCGCTCTAAAATGAAGTTCTGGACTTTAGCATGGCTGATTTAGAGACAAGCATTTTTCTACGCAAGGGCCAATATGATTTTCTGATTGTATTCTGCATGTCTGCCTGCCTAAGAACTCACCTGATCTTGTACCAGAAGCTTCCATTGCATCCAAACTGGAAGAATACGGCACCCACAGATCATCTCCCACCTCCACGTGAGAAAGTAGCTCAGGCATTGGGACTGCAAATAAGCACGGTCAAAGAAGAGAAAGGGGCAAGGGTTAATCGATAGAGAAAAGCAGTGCTCTTGTCCATTTCTGAGGAATGTTAACAATCACTGCAATGGCGTACATTGAACCTGTCACCAGGCATGTGTTAGATTTGTAAGGTTTCTTCCACAGCACTAGAAAATGGTTGCAAATATAGCTATATAAGTTGTTGGAACACAGTCTTTTTCATTGGTACCCCATGTTTTGGCTCATCATCGTTTAGTTGTGTCCGACTCTTTGTGACCCCATGTACCAGAGCATGCCAGGCACGCGTTTTGGCTAGTGGGACCTAAAAGGGCCGCCTTTTGTCATCCAGCAGCTAATTAAAGAAGTAAGGAGAAGGGGTTCAAGCTGAAACAAGTTCCTTACCAAGTGAGGTCACATTCTCATAGTTTTCCATCATCACTTCACTGTACAGTGACTTTTCATTCAAATCCAGCAGGTCCCACTCCTCCGCTGTGAAATATACAGCCACATCCTCAAAGGTCACAGGTTCCTAAAACAGAAAACAACCCAAACTCTGAAAGGTTAAACAGATGTGGACGCCCCTACGCTGGGCATCTTCAAAACCCAATTAAAAACATGGTTATTCACTCAGGCCTTCCCTCCATACTGTTTGTTACAGGATCCGTTTGATCCTAAAGAATTAAGCTTTGTGAACAATAAACTTTCTAATGTTGGATTTTATGAAGAGCCTCCGACTCTTTTTCCCGCCTACACCACCAGTGCCCCCCCGGCCAGAGGAGAACCTCCTTACAGCGGGGTATAAATAAAATAAATAAATAAATAAAACTGCACAGTATGGCATAACAAGGCCTTCCAAATACAGATGGAGGAACACACATTCAACTGATCCCCTCAACGAACTCTCACCAGATGAAAGACAAAGTCCATTTTCATGGGCAGGGAGATGATTCAATATAGGCAGTATTCCCAGGCATCTTGTACTTGTGAATGGGTAGATGCCTCCAGCTGTATTCCCCAACCTGGTGCCTTTCATATGCTTTACAAACGTCATCTCCCGTCAGCCTCAATCAGCACTGCCCATTGTCAAGAGTTCTGAGAGCTCTTGTATGCACCCATCTATTCTGAATAGAAATGTAGTTTTTATACCACTTAAAAGGAGAGCAGACCCAAGATGATTTATTGTCATCATAATCACATGCCATCAACTCTGATTTATGTTGACCCTTTCAGGGTTTTCCACGTTCAAAGTACAGTAGTACTTTGGTTTACGAATGCCTCGGTTAATGTAATTTTCAGTTTATGAACAAAAATCCATTGAAAATAATGCCTCAGTTGACGGGGGTTTTCCGCAGTACAAAGGAAGTTTCCCCAGGATGCATTGTGCCTGGAGGTTTATAGTGCGGCCCCTATTCCTATGGCAATCTGCATTTCGGTTTATGAATTTTTCGCATTACGTAATGTCCCATAGAATGCATTACATCCGTAAATTGATGTACTACTGTACTCAGAAGTGGTTTACCATCTCCTCCTTCTGGGGGCATTCTGCGACTGTGCAGCTTGCCCAAGGCCACATAGGCTGACTCTACTGGAAAGAGGCCCAGTGGGGAATTGAATTCCCAACTCTGCAGACAGATACCTAAACTGCAGAGCTATTGAGCCAGCCAATCTAAAACAGAGCTGCAAATTGTGCCACTCTCTCATCCATGCCTTATTCATTCGGTTCATTTTGTATATAAGCAACACTAGTAAGCTAATAAGAGGCTAGTGATTGTCTGGATTACTCTGAAGTGATTGCACAAATTGACAGACAAACTGGCTACTTTTACTATCATTACTGTGACATTTATTTTCTGGAAAATGATTCAGATTGTCTTTTAACAGGTAACTCTTATGGAAGGTTGCAGAGAGATAGGCTGACCTTTTAACACAGAGGAGACCTGGCTTTGCACAGATTTCTAGAGCAGGGCTGGTGAAGGTCAGGTCTAGAGATGGGCACCAACCACTGGTTCAGTGCAGTATGTTTCCCAACTAAACAGCTGGTCCATGGCTTGACATCCCACCCCCTTCAACAGGTGCCCCATCCAGAGATATGATCATTCCCTTCATCTGAAGGTGCTTAGATACATTAAACCTTATGAAAATTAAACACTTAGCTAGTCTTATAGGTTGTTGTTGCTATGGGCCATCAAGTCATCTCTGACTCATGGCGACCCCAGGAATGAGCAATCTCCAAAGTGTTCTGTCCTCAAGAGGGCTGCTCAGCTCTTGCAAACTCAAACCTGTGGCTTCCTTTAATAATA